GACTCACAATCTTTCGCTCAAGGATTTGACGCTGTTGGTTGTTTTCAGATGGGAACTCAGCTGTATTTATGATTATTATTTATTGTTATAGTTGTAATGGAAGTTGGAAAGCTGTTTTACTTCTCACATGAATGAGTTGTGTAGTTTGTACAGTACAGTACAGTACAGTAATCCCCTGGGTTACGGAAGGGCCGTATCCTTGAAAAGTTGACCGTTACGTGAAATTCCATATTGTGAAGCCCATTTTCCCGTTGACTTTATTGTATATTTGGAGATGGGTTCTCAAAGAAATTTTTGGGGCAAAAAGAAGTAATACAAGCACACTTATAAATGAAAATAATTGTTTTTAAACACATACATTGATTATTTTATGATATACTATGATAATAATTACAGTGTATACACAAAACACTTGAATTTAACTCGCCATAAACGATGTTGACTGCTATGTGAGGTGAAGGGGTGCAATAGGAATTATTGGGAGACATAGCAAACCTTAATATTTTTGTAATCTTTCTAAGTTTTTCTCTTGCATCAAACTCCATAAATCATCAAGTTTTATATCAAACATAATTTCTTTACAGCCTCTTTTAGTGCCACTGCTTTCACTTGCACTTGTATAAGGGTAATACACTGGATAGTCTCGAATAAGATACATATACAGTACAGTATGTTGCTTCCAAGAACTGTGGTCGAGAGATCAAGCATACACACTGAGAGATATAAACAAACAGAGTCTAGTGGCCTGGTTGCGCCTCATACCCAAGCTCGATGGTAGCTAACACCAAGAAATCCACACCAAATAAATTATAATGTCAGTTAAGTATTTTTTCTTCTATATAGTAATTTTTGTGTGGAAAACTTTGAAAATTTACCCAATTTCCATAAAGTCAAATTTACAGGCCGTATCTTGAATTTAGTGGTCATAATTTACAGATTCTGTATGGTTGAATTTCTTCAAAGTGAGTTTCCGTAACATGGGGGATACCTGTATGTAGTTGAGGGTGAGGCCTTGTAGAATCTCCTCCTTACACTGTAGTGTTGCAAATGGTTATAAAACTATATTTGCCTCTGGATGCTTCAGACAACTTTTTTAATGTAACACCCAAGGTTCATATTGAAGTGTTATGAGTGTAGAACTTTGTTCATTGGGTTTAATTCATTGTTATTGTATGTTAGTGTGTTTACTTGTCACACTACTGAAGCTGGTTTCTTGTCAACTTCTTATATATCAATATGGATGTCACTTGAAGAACTCTGCCCAAACATTACACCACTGACCACTGTCACATGTCTCCCTGTCCTAGTTCCAGTAATAGTAGGCTACTCAGAGTGTCTGCTGATAAATAATGGTTGGTTATTTAGTTAGAAAAGTGAAGCATAATCACCTGCAATATTGAATATTTGAAAATAATATTTTAAGTTAATCAAATTGTTAAAGCAAATAATTGCAATTTTGAGAAACTAAGAAGAGAAATAGAAAAAACAAGATAAAAGAAAAGATTACAAAGAATTGGTGGTGAGCTGTGTCATCACTAGCTGGACAGAAATTCATTGAGTGAGTCATTCAGACAGGATTGGTATTCATAGAGCTGGAAGTTAAAGAAATTAATATTACATGGAATACAACAGTTCAGTGAAGAGAACAATAATCTAGCATTGAGAATATAGACCAGATTTTTTTTTTAGTGTTTAGGGGTTTGACTCAACAGCAAATTGTTGGAACATCAGATCAAATTATCTTAGGCAGTTTCAGAGTTGTGTATACGTACTGGTAGTACTGACAGTTGCTCACGTGTTTTATTACTTCTTGATGTTCTACAAAGGGATAAAGATCGGACACTTAGGTACTAAGCTTCCTCCAGCATACACTTAACCCTTCCATTGGGAACAACATAGATTTCTAATTATATTTTTCCTCTCGCGAATCAAATTTAAGTACATTATGCTTATTCCTCATCGGTAAACTTCCTGTGCACCTGACAGCTTAACTCAGGACCTATAAATACCACCCACCTAAGTGCCACCATTCTCTCTTCTCACACCATAAGCTCCTTGCTGTCCTGTCACGTGGACCTATTATGTACAGCTCAGAATCTTGAAATTTATGAACATGACATATCAAGCAGTGGAGGAGATTATTTTAGTGACATATCATACAGTGGTGATGAACAGTTGGCACCATCAAGCCCCTACATATTTTGTGGTGGTGGTAAAGCAGACTTGGGAAGAGCAGGGGCATCCCACATGCTCTTATTCAGGATTGAGTAATAGGAAATGGAGTCCTGGTAAGATTAATGTTCTGGAAATATTCAGTTACTGTATTTATTTACTTTTATTTTTTAAAGGGAGACTCCCTTCGTGGGGTCAACTCCACAAAAAAACCACTTGGGGTAAATAGGTTAAATAGGCTATATAATTAGTACTACTGTACTGTAGCAACTTCATGGCTTATCTTTAGTGGCAGGACAGTCGAGGTCACCAAACTTTTTGTTGAATGTGGCCTGATTTCTCTATTTCTCTAATAGCCAAGGGAATTCATGTGTATCAGGATAGCTGATGATTAATGGAAGTTTGAAGCTAGTGAGAAAGTCAGGCACATAGTAGAACAGTAGGCAGAGGAAGTTCATTGTGACCCATGAAATACAATTTGAAGGAAAGAGGCTCAGGTGTACTGTATGTCTGTGTTGGTCATCCAACTAGGAAGACAGTTCAACAGTTGCCTAGTTAATTGATTCCATTCCTAGTAGACCATAATCTAACATAGCCTAAGGCTTTGTATTGGAGCCAAGCACTATTGGGCATCAATCCTAATGGTTATTTTGAGTCAGGTTGGGGTCCATTAGAACTGAAGCCGATTCAATGGGTAACCATTAAACATTGCAATATGGTTGTTGGTTAGAATTTGTTGACACTTAACATTATAAGAGGTATGTTACATTTTCTACTATTTTCATTACTCCGGTCACCCATCTGAAGGGTAAATCAAGTGGGCGAAGCATCTCCATCATCCTAACTACTAAGACACAGTTACAGCATGGTGTATGTGTGTCACTGCCTGCAGGTCTACTTTGGGGTAGCCAGAGAGACACAACACAAGAGAGAGACACAGATGGCCTCTGCTGTTATGTCTTAGGAGTTAGGATACACACTGTTTTCTTATACAGTACAGTATAGTTTTACTACAGTACAGGTTTAGTAAAAAAAGTTGAACACAAGAATATTAATATTAACCAGAATGTTGAACAAGTCTTTACGATCCTCACCACATTCAGAACACATGATCCTCACCACTTTAGGAACTCATTTGTAGGTGATAAGACATTTTCATGCTTCCACCATGAATATGGAGGAAGTGTATAGTGACACCCACATTTGTATGTAAAGTACTTTATGTACAGAATGTCACATGTGATTTTCAGTCATTAATTTGAGATTGGATTAATAGTTTTAAATGAAATTTGGTATAAACTACTGTATATATCAATAATATCTATAATGAGATAAATGATTAGTGTTCTCCTTCTTTATTTGCCTTAACTGTGATTCCCATTTGACTTATTAATTTTGGCAGGGGGACATGACATCTTCACTGGTTGTCTTGTTTTTTGCAGCATCTTCTGTAACACCCACAAACATCAACAGCTCATTCACCAACTCACTCCATCTCTTGTGTTTATCTTGTTTTTGTCCTTATCTATATTATTATGTACATCCTTCCAAGATTTTTTAAGTCAAACATTGTGCATGATTGAGGTCCTAACTGTCTCATCGTGTCTGTTTCTTTCTCATGTCTTCTTTCATCTGTGTTTCTTGCTCACCCACTTGTTATTTGCCTCTCCTTCTCCTCCCTATCATTACTCAATGCTTAAGCTGTGTGACTTGTATTTTCTTTAATACCTACCTTTATTATAGTAACATTAAGTAGAGAGCACACTCCCCTATGATGAGCCATCTCTCTCTTTCATATTCTGTAAGTTCATCCATCAGATTCTAATGCACGACTGGAATCATCCTCAACAAGTCTGTTCTCACCTCTAACAAACCTTTCACTGTTCTTTAAGTTTGTTTCATAGGAATTTTATCAAATTTAATTCTTCCTTGTCTTAAAATAGTGACCAACTCTGTTCTTGTTGGCTCCTGTTCCATCCATCCCCTTCACTTTCCCTTCTGTTCTAAAGACTCACACTACTAGTTATGAATGTGCACCGTATATCTGACCCCGAGTGGAATCTTAACAGGGATGATATTGTAGAGATAGGACCCAAACCTATTCTAAAATGTATAACAGTACCTGGTATTTGGCAGTGAAATATCTTAATTTTTCTAATTAAATTTACAGTAGAATTGAGACATGACACTGTTAATGGTATAATAGTACATGAACCAGTCCTTAAAGTACCTACAAAACTAAGTGAAAGTATAGCATGATAAAGTAATGGCGGTGCGTCACAGTAATTTGTGTTATATGGAGCCTGATTCAATACTACGAAGCTGGCTGGTGGTAGAATGTCCATCATGGTAGACCAGTTAGATTCATACTTAAAATACCCAATGTCTTGTAGCATCCCTTCTTAACCCACTTAGACACCTGAGCAATATAGCCAATATTTTGCTAGCATCAGTGCTCCTGTGGTAGAATATTGGTACTCATACTATTTATGCATCACATTACTTTTACTAGTGCAAGAAATATATACGCTCAGTGTTGTTTTATTGATAGTTTTATAAAAGTATTAAAACTTTACATTAAACTAGAGATAATAATAATGCTTAAATAAATATTAAAAGTTCTTAGTTAGATGTTATTAGTCATGGCATAATGTATCAACAGATGTATAGTGATTGGTATATTTAATTTATTTCAAGAAACTGACTAAAAATTCTGGACTAAACTCCTTTTATCAATGGTTGGTTTGTTAAAGACATTTATCTGTTTGGTCTTGAATCTAAAAGTGATAATGATAATTTTTGAAGGGACTTGTAATTCTTCTTTTCAGGTGTCAATGGGAAGTAACGTAAATGACAAGAAAAGTTATGTTATATCTGGTCACTGGGACCCAAGCGATCCCGTGTTTGCTGTACTTAACCAGGAGACTCCCAGGGACCGCAGAGTCTTCATGACAGTTGCCATAGATCTAGTCATAAGTAAGTCTATATATATATATATATATATATATATATATATATATATATATATATATATATATATATATATATATATATATATATATATATATATATATATATATATATATATATATATATATATATATATATATATATATATATATATATATATATATATATATATATATATATATATATATATATATATATATATATATATATATATATATAATTTATTTATTTATTTTTTTTTACTAGAAATTTGGTCATTGAGTTTGGGTGGATTGCCTTAAAAGTTTAGTAGGGATTCTCAGTATCACTCAAATATGTGATTATTTTTTTAGTCACGGTCAAGGATCAAGGTCACTGTTTTTTAGAAAATATAGTCAGAGTGCCAAGAAAGTTGAGATAGTTTGAGAGTAAATGAGACAAAACTGGGAAATGGTGGTCTTGTAAAATGCTTCGTGAATGGAGTTTGAAAATTGCTGAGTAACATACATAACACTCACTATGTAGAAGACTGCTTATTAATGTACAGTCATGGGTAAAAGTCTTGTTGCCTCTCCTGCTGCTCCATGAATCCCAAGATTCAGACTCATGAATCCAAAGCATCCATGGACTGAATAATGTATCAGTATCTACTGTTTTGGGTTCATTAGTTTGAATCTTGAGGTTCATGGAGCAGCAGGAGAGGCAACAAGACTTTTGACCATGTATGTACAAACTGTATCAGTATAAAGAGAGTACATTTTGAACCTCAAAGAATCATTTGATGAAGCATTCAGTTTTGAAAATGGGATCCTTTAGTCCATGTGTCTGTATGTCACATCAAGTGTCATCTGAACTTCACGTAAAAGGTATTTAAAAAATCTTAGTTAAAGATTATATACAATTTATCTTAGTGTTAAAGAGATGCCTTGCTTTAAAAGTGATAATCTTCTTTCAGTACTGTTTCCATCTTAGGGATATCAATGACTAAGTCCTCTTGGGTTTTTTTCTTCAATAACAGGAGGTATTCAAGAACCCGTTCGTTTTGTAATTGAAACCAAAGTCAGAGTTTACCCTCAAAATGAGCGATTCTGGTACTTCAGCAAGAAGCCACTTGTCCACCTCTTCTCTCTTAAACTCAAACAGGTAAGCACTGTATGTATAACTCAATTTCTGATTCTATTTTCTTGCTCCAATATTAGATTATGTGAATTTACCCTTCCTCACGCTTGAATCTCTGCTACCACCTAACTTTGCAGTACACAAGTGTGTTCAGATTAAACAAGTGGTTTTGTAACAGTGGTAAGGTGGCCATAGAGAGGAGACAGCAAAGGAGAGTCTTGTGTTGACCTTGATTCTGCCTGTCCTTACAAAATGCCTTCCAAGAGTAAAGGAAAAATTACATTTTCCTGGAAATAAGTTTTGGCAAAATCATTGTGAGTACAGTATAGTAGTTTTAGTGTGAGGAATTGTAATATATTCCTCTTGCTGTAATATTCAAAATAATTTTTTTTTCATTTTTTATGATAAACAGTTTATTTCCTTTCAGGTGGAACACTCTCCCCAGGGTGACCAGCAGTATGTTGTAACAAGTGTAGATAATTTAGGGGAGGTGGAGCGTTGGCGCCCCTCAACAATGTCACTCTCCCTCAACCTCTCCTCATTAACAACGTCAACACTCTCCTCTCTCTCCACCGGCCGCTCCCCATCCATCGCTTCCATTGAGACTCCAGGCTGCGATGAAGATACAGGTGAGTTTGTTTAACTATGCTGTTTATTATGAATGAAAAAGTGTTCATATGGAGCAGATAAGAAACTGTCAGCTTATAGGTACAGTACTGTAGCTGAATGTGAGGGAGTTGGGTCGAGAATTAAGATGTACTGTATGATACAGCACTTGTGTGAATTAAGGGTTTAGCCTACAGCACTTTATCTTTAAGTCAATGTTTCATATTTTACCAAAATATTAACCCTTTTAACACAGAGATACAACTCTAAATATTTTATTTGGCTAACACCATACGATTTTATTCAGCACAGAGAGGAACCTTTATACAGTACAAGGGGCTAAGAATATATTATGTCTTTCTACAGATGATGACGAGCCTTTATTAAGTGGGTCTGGAGAAGTGTCCAAGGACTGCCCTCAGGGGGAGCTGGACATGTGGAGACAGGTACTGTATGTTCCTCTGTTTACATGTTCATTAACTTGTTGTTATGCTGATCAAAATGTTATTTTCTTGATCAGACTGTTCATTCTACCGGTCAAACCGTTATTATGCTGATCAAATTGCGGTACCTGTACTGTAATGCTGATCAAAATTTTTTATGTTGATCATACACATAAAAATGATCAAACTGCTATTTTAGTGAACAAACTTGTTATGCTGTACAAACTGTTACTATCAACACTTAACAAAACTGTGACCTTCAACCTGACCTCTAAAAGTAGATCAGGTGTAGAACTTGCACTTGCTATTTGTTGTATAAGTGTGGTGTAGAACGTAAATTATTATTTTTTTCAAATATTGTAGCTGTAATAATTATTATTATTAAAACAGCTGTCATTGTTTATATTATTGCTTTAAAAGTGAAAAGTTTTTTATCTGGTGAATTTAAAAAAAATCAGGAATATTGTTTATTTTGTGAGTTGTTGGAATTGAATTTTGTATCATTTTTCTTTTATTTATTGTTCTATTTTTCAAATTGGAGCTGTTACAAGAGGACAATGTAAGTGGTATTTAGTGGTAACTTTTCAGTATCTTTAAGATATTGTTTTAGAAAATTATTTGTTTGTCTTATCAATGATGAATAAAGAAAATTATAATAAACTTGTGAGTAGTGCAGTACTGTACCTGTACTAGTTTAACATTTAATCACTTTATGGTTTAACTGATGCACCAAATATTGATTCCCTTTTTTTTGGTCTAGTAGGAATACCACTAAATATATTTCTCAAATACCTGTAGGTGATAGCAGAGTGGTCAGTAAGAGGCAGTGAAGATGGTTGTATTCTTCTTGAGTTAGTGATTAATTAGTGACTGGAGACTCTCTTTCACTTTCAGCATTACTTTTTATTTTATCATTTCACATCATCTCAGAATGGCTCTTATATAATGTGCCACTGATGCCGACAGGTGTGGCCCAGGTTACCTCAAAGTAAGCAATGCACAATGCATTACCTCACTCATTCTTGTCAGTGAGGGGGTTTATTCGGGGTTTCAATAGAATAATTTAGTTTGGTACTTGAGAGAAACACAAAATACTAAAAAGACTGAGAGTCTACCCAGATGCACTTCAGCCCATCTCCTAGAATAAACAAAACATTGTTTTTTGTAGTATTATGTTAAAACAATCACTCATAAATTAACACAGCTAAAATTATGGGACGTGAAATGGTCTGTTTACTAGCGATCAGCTGATGTGGAGGGGGGGAGGTGAGGTGATATGTTTGACAGTTGATGCCAAGGTCTAGTGCTTATTTATTTACCTGTCCTTAAGAGTGACTTTAAGTTTTTCTCTTATCAAATGTCACTGAACTGACATGGGTGAATATAATTAACATTGCTGGAATTCTTATAAGATAGTGATTTGTTTAAATATATACATGCTATAGTTCGCATTAGATATACAAATTTTAGTTTTAAGTAATTTTATTACAAAGGGCAAAATTTTTTATCTCTTGTGCAAAATATATTCAAATTATTCGCTGTCTTGCAAGGATTCTATCAATGCAAATTATATTCTCCTAACTTTAGTCTGTAATATTATATAAGATAAAAACTTTAAGCCTAAAACCACCAACCCTGGCTGGGAAGATGGGAGGAGGGAGGTGACAGTGACATGTTTGACAGTTGGCGCCAAAGGTCTATTGAAGTATTTATTTGTTTATTTATGTTCTTTAGATTGAGTTTTTGTTTTTTGTTTATAAAATGTCACAGAAGTGACTGGGGAGAACATAATTTACATTGCTGGAATTCTTATAAGATAGTGATTAATTTTAATATAATCATGCTATAGTTTGCACTAGACAAAATTTTAGTAATCATTTAGTACATTATTTTGAGTACATGTACAGTACAGCTTTGCCCTCAAGACAGTGTAGCCTGCCCAGAGAAACATTAGGCGCGAATTTTAAAATATGATGCGCCAGATTGACTCGTGCAAAATAGGAAAGATTTGCTTTAAATTAAAATATTGTCCTTAATTTTGGGTGTTGCTTTAAATCAATAATCTTAAATTTAATCACTTAAAATCGACATTCTACTGTAGTAAGAATGAATGCACAAAAGCAAATGAAGGGAGTTGTTGTTTGTGTTTAAGCTCTTACTCACTTACTTATTTTCTTTGCCACCTAATTCAGGCCACCGCTCATTTAGCAGGAAAAAAGCTTGAAAAAGATTAAAGAAATCCAAGATCGAGAGCTCCATTATTAATGTAACCTTGTAGAAAACTTTATGAAAATTAAAAAAAATATGAATGTAATTACAGTGTATTGTGTACTTGTGTGTACAGGTGCTACCTAAGTTGCAGGCAGCACCCCAGCAGCTGCCTAAGGGTGTCTCGGGGCTGGTGAAGCGTGGGATCCCTGAGGCCCTCCGAGGTGAAGTGTGGCAGTTGTTGGCTGGCTGTTCAGATGATGTGGACATGATGGAGACATACAGAGTACTTATAACAAAGGTGAGAAGACATTTTGAGGGTTCTCTTGTGGTACAGTAAGTGATTCTTGAAAAAAAGACCGAAGTGATCAACAGCATGTAAGAATTTTGTCATTAGTAATTCACTTTTTTGTCCAGCAGATCCAGTGACCTTTTTTTTTTTTTTTTACGGGCATTAGCCCACCCGGACACAGGTCATTTTATGACCCACATCAAGGCCTGGTGGGTGAAAATATAATAATAATAATAATAATAATAATAATAATAATAATAATAATAATAATAATAATAATATAAATAATAATAAAGATCCATAAAAAAAAATTATATATCAATAGTGAGAAACAATATATGTATGTTGTGTTGTCAATAGTAAGAGAAACAATTGAGACCCCAGCAATTGTGTGTAAATGAGGCAGAAAGTCACATCATCAACCTGGGACTTGGTCACAATTTTTGCGATGCCATATGGCAGCAGGATCTACCATTAGACAACACATTATGCTTCCAATATGTATTTTTCCAGGCAGTAGTACCTCTCTGTTTGATAGCTGCCTACTACCTACTACTACCATTATCCCAGAACATTGATTATATTTTATTTTTTCATCAAGAAATCTTGATTCATGAAAGTAAGTCTTAACAGGTCTCTTGTTGTGCTATACGTATGATTATTAGTAAAGGTTTTGTTGTAAATTCTTTGGATTATTTTTTTTATTTTATTTTTTTTTTGTGATGGGGTGGGGGGTGGATAGCCCGAGGCACAGGTCATCGACTCACAACGGGGCCGAGGGTGCGAAAAAATAAGAGTAAAAAGAAATTAAAAATAGAAAAGAAAAAGATTACCAGGTACAGGGTACATGTATATTAATCTACACCACGAAGATGCTGCAAAACCAGCCTTTTAAAGTGAAACAGTTTGTATGAGTGTGGAAATACAGAAGAAGGCAGAGCATTCCATAGTTTGGCTGTGTGAGGAAAGAAGGAGGTACTATAACAGATTATTCTAGTGTGACCGACAGCCACAGAGAAACTGTGGGCACTGCGGGCAAGACGTGTGTTACGAGCCCATGGCCTTTCTGGCGGTACACACGATGCTAAATCCACCGAACATTGTCTGTTAAACTACTTGTAAAATAGAGAGAGTGAAGCAACATTGCAGCAAAGAGAAAGGGAAGAAAGATTATCAACTAAAGGAGTAGGGTTAATAAGATGAAATGCCTTTGATTCCACCCTATCTAACAGTTGGACAGAAGAAGAGCCACCCCTGATATGAAAACAGTACTCCAAGTTAGGATGAATGAATCCCTTATAAACTTGAAGCAACTGCTCAGGGGTGAAGTAGCTGCGGCATATGTACTGCATTCCCAGCTTTCGGGAGGCAGCTTTAGCAATGTTGTGGATGTGTGGCTTCCATGACATATTAGAGGAAATGGCGAGACCTAGCATATCTATTTTAGAGTTTGGCAGAATGATTGCATCCTGAAATGTGATTGGTGGGAGATCATCTAATTTGGAAAGTGTAATTGGTAAATACTGAGTTTTATTACTATTGAATTTAACAAAATTTCTACCTCCCTATTCAGAGACGCTGCACAGATCCACATTGATAGATGTAATGATATCTGCTCTAGGAACAGATCTAGTTTGAGAATTAGGGGGAAGGGAAAACGAAAAGAAGTGAAGAGTAGAATCATCAGCATAAGAATGGATAGAATTAGTCGTAGTGTGAAGTAAATCATTGATAAAAAGAAGAAAGAGAGTTGGTGAAAGAACAGAACCCTGTGGGACACCACTATTGGTAGAGAAAGAACGAGAGGTCGATCCCTCGACAACAACTGCCATGGATCAGTTCTCAAGGGAGCTAGAAATTAGAGAACAAAGTGGGTGGGAGAAACCATAAGAGGAAAGTGTAGAAAGCAAAAACTTGTGCCATTCCCTGTCAAATGCTTTGGAGATGTTGAGGGCCACGACAAAAGTTTCCCCATAATCCATAAGAGAGGATTACCAAAGATGGGTGCAGTAGTAGAGCAGATCACCAGTAGATCTCGCCTGGAGAAAGCCATACTGGTGATCCGACAAAAGAGAAAAGCATTCAAGGTGACTGATAAAATGAGAGTTTAAGATAGTTTCGAAAACCTTTGGGAGGGATGAAGTTAGGGCAATGGAGCGATAGTTAGAGGGATTAGAATGGTCACCCTTCTTTGGGATGGGCTGAACCAAGGCATGCTTCCAAGAAGGAAAAGTTTGGGTTTTGAGGCAAAGGCGAAGGAGACGAGCAAGCACAGGGGCCAGAACTTCAGCACACTCCCTCAGAACACGAGGGAGTACAGTACAGGTATTCCGTCTGGTCCATGCGCCTTACCCACATCCAACCTGGATAACACACCAACAACCCTATGAGTGGAGATTATAGGCAAGTGCATAGGTTCAGTAGGAGGAGCTGAAGTAGGTGGGATAGAGTTGGAATCATCTAAAGTGGAGTTAGAGAAGAATATGGTGCCAAAGAGATTGGCTTTATCAGGGGAGAGTTGGCTATAGAGTTATCTGGTCAGGTGAGAGGAGGAAAAGAGGGAGTGCAGAAGGTATTACAGATGTTTTTGGTTAAGGACAGGAATGATTTACTAGAAGAAGAATTATTCAGGACAGCGGTCTTTCTTTTTATAAAATTCCGCTTGGCCCTACGAAGAATAACCTTACATCGATTCCTAGAAGTAAGGAAAGAAGAGTGAGTAACAGGAGATAGTTTCATAACTTGATATGCCCTATCTCTCTCCCTACATGCAAGAGAACAGGAGCGATCAAACATGATTATAAAGTGAAAGTTTTGGTAGAAGATGGAATAAATGCACCCATACCACCGAGTATAACTCCAGCAATACTGTCAGCACATACCGAGGCATCCCGAGTGCAAAAGCAACATTCATCCCAAGGAAAGTCGGAGAAGAATTCTCGCAAGGATTGCCAGTTTCCCCTCCGATAGTGCTATAGTTGGCGTTTAGTGGGGGTGGGGGAGGTGGTCGTGCCCAGTTTGATTTAATAGAAATAAGATTGTGACCAGAAGACCCTAAGGGGGCAGAAATTGAGTATGAATAGTGTGAGGGGTTTGGGCACGTTCTACATGTACAGTATTTGAACAACATTTGCTCCATTTTCTACATAATGGAATATGCCCCGCCTTGACCACACAGCACACATAAATATACCCACCAGTAAAGGGTCAAAGGAACTCTATGTTTTCATTTCCACTCTGTTGTGCCCTTTATGTATGGAGAAGCATTTTTCTTTGAAGCGCCAGTATTCAGACCAAGGAATTGTTATTTTTGCATCAATTTCATACTTTTGGCTTCAGTATAGCTTGGACTTTCATATTAGGTGTTATGAAAATGAAGGTAAGCACTGGGAGGCTGTATTCAATTTAATGCAACATCAGTATCCATAGATCTGTAATAAACAGAATAAACTGGAATTATATTAAGAATGATTAAGCTTCAAGTAACAGAATTGGCTAAACATATATAAACATAACATAAGAAATGTAGGAGAACTTCAAACAATATAATCTAGAGCACTTAACCAACTAAGCATAACACACCATAAGGTTAAAAAAATAATAAAATGACAAACTATAGAACACTGACTTTTGCCTTCCAATGCAAAACAAAAATTCTAAAACATCTTCCCTACTTCCTAGCTAAAAAAATGTTCCAGGCCAAAACTGCACACTATATATACCACCAGATTCAGGAAATTATAAGGTTTTCAATGGTGCAATGAGATTTTTGCTGTCTAATGGTTTGGCTGTAAATTATGAACTAAGGAAAAACTTATAAGCATTTTTTTTCATACATATGCTATGAATATTATCAGACTGTACTGTAATGTGTAGGGTTTTTTTTTTTTTAGATACTGTACTGTATTCATGTTTTTGGGATGGGATACCCGCAGTCAACTCCCGGAGACAGCGAATCCTGTATATGGGATATCAGCAGTCAAAGGGTTAACAAATTGTATTTCCACCTCAGGACTGTGCCAGCGAGCAGGTAATCCTCCGAGACATCAACCGTACATTCCCTGCTCATGACTACTTCAAAGAGGCTGGGGGCATAGGCCAAGATGCTCTGTACAAGATCAGTAAAGCTTATGCTGTCTACGATGAAGAAGTGGGCTACTGCCAGGGCTTATCTTTCCTGGCTGCGGCTCTCCTCCTGCATGTGAGTTTTTGAGGAACAGAATTAATTTAGCTCTGCACAGTATATAGACTTACGAATGCCCGCCAATACAAATGAGGTTAAAATTAAAGTATTTTATTTACCCGATGACGTTTTTTTTTTACTTTCATTTTTCTGTATTTTATCATTGTTTCTTATTTTTTCTTAATTTAAGTGATATTTTATGTATATAAGAATTTAGGCTATGATATAGTGGGATTTTAAACATTGTTCTGTAAATACTGTATGCACGTAGCATGTGTTCAACCAGCGTCCTCAGGAACGGAACCTGTTCATAAACCGGGGACCCCCTGTATATTGTAACTTGTGCGACTGGGTGGTGGTGGTGATGGCAGGTGGTCAGTTAACAAACACCTATTAGATGGAGATTGTGCTCACACTATTCAATTGTATTTTGTACTGTATTAAGTTTATATTAGTGTGTATTTTATTTTATTTTTACTGATATTTAGTTGTTTCTACAGAAAAAGTTTTCTTTTGGGAGGCATGGGCGTGAGAATAACATGAATTGTTTGAGGACAACTCTGTGCACAAAAAATATGAAATTATCCCAGGTTATCAAATTGTAAATACTATAAGTAATTAGTGTGTGTGTGTGTGTGTAATAATAATAATAATAATAATAATTAACGGTTTATTGAAAGAGCATGGCAGCCAGAAGGCTGAAAATATACAGTTGCATAATTGGGGAATGGGTCACTTGATTGACAAATAATATAGAACTGGCATAAGTGATACAAATATGATATATAATAACAAGATGGGGAGAAGGTTGTACTACAGGGCATTTCAACATAGTGACAGTGCAAAAAGGTAAGATTGACTGGGAGTGAATATACTGGTTGATTACAAGTTGTTGATAATTTTTACAATGGTTGGGACTGGGCTGTTCTTATAGCGATCAGTACATGCTCGTATGGGCTGGATGCGGTTGTGGTGTGTGTGTGTGTGTGTGTATAATAATAATAAATAATAATTGACGGTTTATTGAAAAAGTTCTGCAGCCCGAAGGCTGAAAATATACATTGGACATAAATGACTTATTACATACATTGGTGGTTTAACAAAAGCCTTCGTTAGAGAAAGGTAAAGGAACATACAGTGAACATACAGATTAATGTAGGTGTTGAACAGCAAAAACGTAGTGTAGTAACTCCCTCCCAGATGGTGTTAGGAGGGACCTCACGTGGTGTAGTAGTTCCCTCACAGATGGTGTTATGAGGGGCCTAGTGGTGTAGTTCCCTCACAGATGGTGTTATGAGGGGCCTCACGTGGTGTAGTAATTCCCTCACAGATGGTGTTATGAGGGGCCTCACGTGGTGTAGTAATTCCCTCACAGATGGTGTTATGAGGGCCCGTAATTCCCTCACAGATGGTGTTATAAGGGGTCACGTGTAGTAATTCCCTCACAGATGGTGTTATGAGGGGCTCACGTGGTGTAGTAATTCCCTCACAGATGGTGTTATGAGGGGCCTCACGTGGTGTAGTAATTCCCTCACAGATGGTGTTATGAGGGGCCTCACGTGGTGTAGTAATTCCCTCACAGATGGTGTTATGAGGGGCCTCACGTGGTGTAGTAACTCCTTCACATATGGTGTTATGAGGGGCCTCACGTGGTGTAGTAATTCCCTCACAGATGGTGTTATATGAGTGAGGTGTGGTTCCAGGCCTTCCTATCGTAGACGGATTAACACATCGCTGGTTGTTGGGTCTCACGGGCCGTTATCACTGGGTACCTGGGACCTCACTGTGTGAAGGTCAACTTGGGTACCACTGTTACTGTTGAGTTGTTCTCACTGACTTAAGCACTGTTCACCACTGTTCACCTCTGTTTAACACTGGTTCCATTCCTTTCCTAAATGAAATAGTAACTTCTGGCGAGAACATGTTGATATTCCGGTGGGGAGGAGGGTTCAGGGGAGGGAGTTGGTATGGGCCAACATAACAGTTGACCTGGCTGCTCCGAGAGGAGCGCCAGGTACGTCTTGACCCTTCGGTTCGGATGTGTGTGTGTGTGTGTGTGTGTGTGTGTGTGTGTGTGTGTGTGTGTGTGTGGGTGGGTGGGTGGGTGTGGGTGGGTGGGTGGGTGGGTGGGTGGGTGGGTGGGTGGGTGGGTGGGTGGGGGTGTTCTTATTTTATCTTATCTTCGTTTTTCTTTGTTACCAACACACTTCTTCCAGTCTCTGTCTTAGTAGTAAAGAGTCAGATCAGTTAATACCAGAGTTGTAAAGTAGCTAAATAAATTTATTTGAGTACTGTACTCAAGTAATATTTTGGGGGATATACCTTTTAAAAAGTGCTCAAATTTTTTTAGTACAGTACTTTTACAGTATGGTTTCTAATACTTTTACTCCAATACAGTACAATTGAAAAACAAAAATCGTTAGTCGTTACATGCAAACTAATAATATATTAATTAATTAACTAATTAATAACCATAGTAAAAGCATTGTGTGAGTGGTGGGTATGGTGTGAGTGGAGCCTTGAAGGGTACAGTGTGGGTGTAGGGAGACAGCATGTGGTCACATATCTAGAGGTCTCGTGAGGTGAGGTGACGTCAGGTCAGGTGGCAGTGCCCATGACAGCGGATTTCCCTTTGATCTTCTTGTGTCCATTAGCACCTTGACCATCAACCTCACCCAGCCTACCCTCTTATCCCCCCTCCCCCATCAAATCCCCTCTCTTCTCCCCACTTTTCCTTCAGGGGCTTGGTCTTCAACTTGAGTACTGTACAATGAACTTTGGTTGCTTTTACTTCTACTTGAGTAACACTTTGCCAATGTAACAATACTTTTACTTAAGTAACAAAGTCTGGTACTTTTTACAACTCTGTATTTAGGCCTAAAAGATCCTGATTGGACAACCATAATTTTAAAATTCAGTTATTGATTAATCACAATAGAAAAATTTGCTAATAAACATGTGTAATGTTGTGTCCTTTATTTTTATCTTTAGTTAACTAGTTTTTTATAATTTACTGTGAATTTACTTTAATACTTGAGACATTTGATAATTTTGTTGTTACTTTTTACTTTCAGTACTTGAGTACTTTATAGATGTGATACTTTTTACTTTACTTGTGTACATTAAACTTTGGATACTTTTACTTCTACCTGAGTAACATTTTGCGAATGTAACAATACTTTTACTTCAGGAACAAAGTCCGGTTCTGTTTTCAACTTTGGTTAATACTTACAGGGTTACTCCAGCAACTATAAATAAGGATTGAGGTTAATCCAGTGTTCCCTTGACCTATTTTCTAGATCTAACAGAAGGTAGTAAGAGACTTTTGTGATGTCTGCAGATACACTGTACATCAAGTGTAATTAGGTGTACAGTATACTATGTATATAACATTTATTTAATTATTCTGGGAAAGAATTATTTGTTATTAACAACACTAGTCTTGCAAAAAAACAAAGTTTCTGAAGTGTCCTCCACTCTGTGTCAAGTATAAGTTTTAAGATAATTAAAAATAAAAAAAATTTCAGATGCCAGAGGAACAGACATTCTGTGTACTAGTCAAGATAATGTTTGAATATGGCTTAAGAGATTTGTTCAAGGATGGCTTTGAAATACTCCACATGAGATTTTACCAACTTGCCAAGTTAATGGAGGTAAGTACTGTATACTGTACTTTATATGGGCAAGTAAATTCAGAATATAAATACCAACACTATGTCCACTTGTCTGCAGAATTTCGATCTGTTTTTGCAGATGTTTCATATTATGTGGTGTACAGTACTCTGCAAAATATCACAATGTACCGTACGTATATTCATGTAATATTCCATCAACATACAAGTTGGGCAGTTGGTTTTGTCTTCCTCTAAAACTTGTCTCTGACTCTTGTGTATATCACCTCGAACGTCTGTTTAAAAAGATGTGAAACTTAAGAAACAAAAACAGCAGGATTTCTTGGAATATAACTTACAGTAAAGTTTATCTGACTAAGAGTATAACAGTCCTTATCTTACCTAGAGTATAGCTTATCTTACCCAGAGTATGTCTTATCCTACTGAAGAATACAACTTATCATTCTAAGAGTTTTAGCATATGTCATTAAAAGTACCATTATATGTTATCCTGATTAAAGTTAAACAATGTAGCTCATCATGAGTGATGGTCCTCTTCTTTGTGGTGTACAGGAACAACTGCCAGAGTTGTGGCTGCACTTCCAGGACCAGGGAGTCGAGATCCACATGTTTGCCAGCCAGTGGTTCCTCACACTCTACACTGCCAAATTTCCCTTGTTCATGGTGTTCCACTACCTTGATCTGTTCTTGCTCACCGGCATAGACTCAGTCTTCCAGGTGGCACTTGCTCTGTTGCAGGTAAGTACTGTACTTCACATCTGTCTACCTACCCAGCAGAGATTGGTAGTAAGTCAACCAGTAGATCATGTCCTGGGTACCATTGAGAAGGTCCATATTCACGAGACTAAAACCCTAAGATGAGCTCATTCCTCATCCCAAACCACTTGACCATAGATATGAAAATATGTGTTCTGACCCTCACAGTTCCTGCAGTCATGAAAAAGTGGAAATTGGGTCCTGTAGGCATGACTGCCTATTAACCCTTAGGCCCTGGGTGACTTTCCAGAACGTCCGACCAGCGCGCCCAGGGTGACGTTCCAGAAAGTCCGCTTATTCTCGCCGTTTTTTTTCTTTCTTTTTTTTTCTTGATTTATCCTCATGGGAGGGGGGGGGGGGTACTGCCAGCAGCACCCTAACCCAGGGCTTAAGGTTTATGGACAGTGTGGATACAGCACACTGTACACTAACCCTTACGTACACAAGGAGGCAGCAGGGCCGGTACTACTCATGACCGCCTTCACTTCCCCAAGTTGTAGGCTTAAGTACCCATTTACAGCTGAGTGAACTGGGAGCACCTGGAAATCAAACCACTGACCGCTGACTGCAAACTTAGAATCCCATTAAGAGTGGCTGAAATGTATGACGAGATAGTGAAGTAAAGTGGTCATAGAAAAATGGATACATTGTAAAACTATGAGTGTATGGAGAAATAGAGTGAAAAACAAGATGATGGGATTATGGGAGGAGAGGTTAGTGGGGTATAACAAAGGAGAGGAGAAGTACGTTTGAGTGGCACTTGCAAGTTGGGAGATATTGAAGAAAGGAGGAATACTGTACCGTACTGGGTTGTTAAAGGAAAGGAAAAAGATGGATAGATAGATGGAGGTTTAGGAGAAAGATTGTCAAAGGTTTGACTGAGACAAGAAGGTGTTATAAAGGGAACTGAATTACAGTATGTGAGAAAAGCTAGAAGCAATAGGAAGTAGTGATTAAGAATGAGAAAGAGGGGATATAATATTGTATAAAAGGAAGTAAGGCAGAAGTGGAGAATATTTTGAGCAACTGCTGACTGTAACAGATGAGAGAGAGACTTGGAGCTATCCTGTTTGGATGTGAGAGAATGAAAAATTTTAAAATGAAACTGAAGAAAATAAATGATGAAGAAGTGAGATGTTTAAGTTTACAGGTAATTAATTTATACTCTGTGTTGATGTACAGCCACCCATAAACATCCTGTCACCTCTGCTGCTGAACTAAGAACCCCAAGATTCAGACTTGTGAATCTAAAGCATTTATGGACAAAATAATGCATCAATCTCTACTGTTTCAGGCTCATAAGTCTGAATTTTTGGGTTTGTGGAGCAGCAGGAGAGGCAACAGGACTCTCTTGGGTGACTGTACCAAAGAATAATAAATATATATTTGACTTTTTCTTTTAAATTTTAATTTTATTCACAGCATTTGCCATCTTCACATATCCATCATCTTCTTCATCACTAGATAGTGAGCAAAGATACCTCTCACTGCTCCCGAGGTACAGTCCTGTGTCAGGCAGTTTTGCCAGGCAGTCTGGCAACAATGGTTTAGCTGGGATGGTTTCCCATCCCAGTCGTACTTCTTTTGGTAGGGTCTTGGGGTAGCCAACCAGGGCTGCTATACTGGTCAGCTTTTTGACAATGTGGAGCTGGAGTTTTTTGACTCCTCAGGGATCAAAGGGGTTACAAAGGTCGTCTGCAGACCAGTGAATGGTGGCCTTATGGTCACCTTCTCTGAATGGGCTGAGGCCAGGCAAGTGGCAGACGTCCCAATCGTATTAGAAATCCACGAAGAAAATAATTTAGTGATGGGAGTGATCTCCCACGCCAAAATTCAACACCTTGAACAAGTCTACGGCCATAATGACCTAAGTGTTCGACGGCCAGAAAAATAATTCAACAACAGCAACCTAGATAGCTCAGATATCAAAGGTTTAACTGTAGTGAAGTAATTATCAGCTTCAGAAGGTTGCTGCTGGATTTATTTATTATATTTTTTCTATAGCTGTTCTATTTGTAATGAATATCTTTTTATTTTAAACATCTTTTTGAATGAAATAGTTGGTGGTAAATTAATGAGGATCTTTCTAAATAAGTTATGGTATGTTTATTGGGTGTTACAGTCTGTTTAATATACTTGAGTGAATGTAGGAATTAGTTAATGAAGGATTATATTCACTGTATATTGTGAAAGAGTAGATGTATTATGGTAAAGGTGTGTCAGTCCACCTAGGTGTTTCTGTGTGTGGTCAGGTTACTGGGTGTCCAAATGTCTTCTCCCGGCAGATTATACGAGTAACTTTTGTCTGGTTGGAGCCCAAACTAAATTTGCCAACTTGTGTACTGTATTGGCTGCCTTGGTACTGTGCCCATGATAAGTGTTGGATAGTTGTCCTTAGTTTTGTCACCTCATTATGTCTCAGGCTATTACTCATTTCTCAACACAGATGTCGAAGAAGGAGCTCCTGTCCTCAGACTTCGAAGGAATTCTCAAGTATTTTCGAGTTTCCTTACCCAAGAAATATCGGAATGAAGATGTTGCCAGACAGTTATTCAAGATAGCTACTTCTCTCAAGGTTAAGAAGTTAAAGAAGTATGAGAAAGAATATCTGGCCCTCAAAGGTACAGTACTGAAGCTTGTTGAAGATACAGTAACCCTTTTCTTGGACCCCTGTCTATCTTTTTTCTGGTTTTCTTCATCGTTCTTTAGTCTGTGCTTTAGTTCCCCATCATCTTTCCTCTCTTTTTCCTTTTCTGCTTACATTCTTCTCCATTTCATTTCCATCAATTTTTTAAGTATTTATAACATGGTGATTTACACCTGTCTCTCATTATTTAGTTTAGAGTTCATAGGCTTCTTTATATGCATCCTTAGATTATCTGATTACATTGGACTGTTGACATGTAGCAGGCAGTATGGGCAAAGGTTTTTATACACCCATATGAGGTGAAACACATGATGGTATGACTCTGCCTGTCCTTCTGTCATTCTCTCCTGATCTGTACATTGATTGACATAATGATCTTTGTAATACAGCTACAGTGTTAATATACATGTATGTACCAATGAAAATAATATTTCATAATTTCATTCATTCATATGCAACATAAAACCATTTTTTTTTCTTGGATAATCACTTGATACTGACATTATCAGAATTAAAATCAATGTGTGTATATACCACCACCTGAGGTATGTGGCATCCATGTCATTCCTATGTTTGTTTACTTCACCACAAGGCAGTAGTATGTGCCATATGTAATATGTATACTCTGGTCACACACTACCTGCTAAGGAGAGTCAACATACAAGTTACCACAAGTGATATTATGTACTTTTATTTTATTCTCAAGTATCATTGATATTTAGAAGATAAACATTATTGTGAGAATTTGTTACTTGTCCACAGAGTTAACTCTTAAGTTATATAATGTATACAGAGTAATTTATAGCACAAAACTAAGACATGCAAAATACTGTATTGTTAAGTGTGGCAACTGAGCTGCCACAGATAATGCAGCAATGATAAGTCCACAACTCCCATGACCAAAGTCTGTGCCTCACTCTGTTTACATGGAGAGTGTGACAGTTCTGTTGTGTCCACGATGAGATGGAGAACAAAGAGTAAGACAGAACTGTATTAAGATTTTAAATTTAGATGGTTTATATAGATACATCTGTATAAATATTGTGTTGATTTAGGTGTACATTATCCCAAATCCTGTCCTGGCTCCATATGATGACCTCATGTATCTTGTTTGTATTATTGCGATTTTAGTAGTGTGTTATTGTTCTGCCAGTGTCTATGTTGGTTTCAGATTGTAATGTCTTTTGACTTTGTAAGATTTCCCTATATATTATTCAGTGTATGAGTTTTCATGCATTATTGCAATACAAGTATCCCCCAATCTACGATGATCTTTGATCTCCCTATCTACAATATTCCACTTTAACGATGGCGATGTATTAAGACCACCATCCTATTTACGGTGAAAACAATCCTCATGAATGATGGTCAACTCTCGGTTCACTTGTCAGCTGCGGTCTACCTGAGCTCTGCCACGCAGCCACCCGGTGCACTACAGTACCAAGCTTTGTTCCATGGTGATTGCTCATGGCCATGATCGTGTAGGTTGACGATTATCGGTCAGTATCGATGTTGTTATTTATCATTGGAGGGTTTTTTACCTTACAGTGAGAGGACATCACTAATGTTCATGTTGTACTCTGTTTTAGTGACAAGTTATTTTTGCTATGTTTTTGTGACTGTAAAGTGCTTTTTTGTCTTTGTTGTTGTTGTGAACACAATGTGAGCAGTGTCGGCCACAATAACGTTATCATCGTTTGCTCTGTTTTTGACAAGTGCTTTTGCTCGATTTCTGTTACTGTGAAGTAAGCAGTGTAACTTTAAAAATGTCAGAGAAGGCCAAGGCACCAAGGAAAACCGTGTCTCTGGAGGTAAAGCTTAACATTGTAAAGCCTCCCCAGACTCCCCACAGGCTGTGGGAACATGTGATGTGATGATGACCAGGCATGTTCTTAATGGTGTGGTGAGTGTTGTATAGTGTAATTGTGTTGTAGGTATATTATTAGTGTAGGAATATTTTTTTATTCAGTGATACATGTGGGTGTTGGACTGGGTGGGAATGTATCCCATTGAACCTCATGTTGTAATGATCCTAATTTATGATATTTCGACCTGCAATGGGTTTTTCAGGAATGTAACCCCATCATAAATAGGGGGATACCTGTAGGTACAATAATTCCTATATTATATTTAGTATTATAAAGTTGGTGCTGTAATGTAAGTGTGAAGGGAAATGCAGTAAACTCTTCATATATGGAAGTTCTATTCATGTTATCTGTATATAAAATGTCACATAATTTTGTTCTACGTCCCCTCTGTGGGTTGTGGTATATGTACCATAAAGTATTATTCTTGTATAGAAGGTGAAAATATCTTAGACATTATTTCACCAGTGGATAAGGAGAGCATAGCAACAAACTTATTGAATAATTCAGTACTGTTTATCATCACATAAGTCTTCTTCATTTAGGAGAGGATACCAAGCCTAGGTTACTTATGTCTTTAAGAAAAATATGTTTTTTTATGCAGAACAAGAGGCCATGCAGGAGGACCCTGTGATACGCCTGGAACGTGAAAATCGTCGACTCCTCGATGACAACATGCGGCTTGAACGTGAAAATGATGACCTGGCCCATGAGCTTGTTACCAGCAAGATAAACATGAGGCACAGCATGGATAAGGTTTAATACCCACTTGTTTCATTACTTTTCATGTTTACTTTTCATTTGTCATTGCTACCTCCAGAATCTGTCAATGTTTGTACAATAATCACGTGTTTTCCATAATAATGGAAAAACGTAAACACAGTTACAGTATTTACAAAAAAAAAATTATTTACAAGTAAATAAAAAGAATTATATTTTGCTGAGGTCGGCAACACCCGCATTGCCAGCCTCTCCCTGCTGTCCCGGCGTCTGCCCGCCCTCATGCAGTCACGCCAGCCAGCCAGCCAGTCAGTCCTCTTCCACCCACATTCCTCCACTTGAAGACTTGTATTCTGACAAAAGACGCAAATGAATTGTCGGTCTTCACCACATCTAAAGCCATAGCTCATACCACCTCTGAGCTTGTCCAATAAAACTGTTTTTTCCGTTAAGGTCATTACTATTCTTGATCTATTGGTCACTTTAGAGTCATTGCTAGTAATATTTGCCTTTGATGAGGCTGGTTTATGTCCAGGAGGCATGTGGACTGCACGTGGGAGGACAAACAGAAGAGGTAATCACAGTAGCGTTCACAGTACGGTAGGCACGTGTGGACTGAGGCTTCTCGGAGCAGTTGGTGTCTGTGGCGGGAAAGGGTGGCATCTGTATTTATAGTCAGGAAAGAATAATTTGATAATCTCTTAAAGGACAGGTGACTTATGTTACAGCAGACATGTTAGGTGCCATCAGTGGCGAATCCTCTGAGCATGCTAGCCATGCGGCGCATGCTCACTGCTCAGAGCTTAATAGTTTCGGAAGAACGAGAATTGATCATCAGCTTGATGAACAACAACGCGTCAGTGACAGTGACATGCACAGTCCTACTTGAAAGCTTTTATTATCATATTATCTCAAAATAGTATTTAATGTTAAACCACCTAGGTACAGCAACCACCCCCCTCCCCTCTCTAAAAAATAGATAGCATGCTCAAGATCTTAGGTCAGGATTTGCCACTGGGTGCCATACCTAAATAAGTAATAGGTTATATTCACTTGACTTGTGTTGTCAACTGCAGAACTGTTTTTGTGTTAGAAAAGGCTTTCCATTTCTTCCAGCAAGACCTTTTTTCTTTAACCACATTGGTAATTTTTACAGCTTGAAGATAAATGTGATAGTCTAAACAAGGAAGTAAAAAGCTTGAACTCCATGTTGTGTGATGCTGAGGATGAGAAGAAGCGGCTCCTCCTAGAAGCCAACCAGGTATGTCCAGTACTGTACAGTATGTTGTAAGAGAAGAGGTTAAAATTTGTGCTTAATTGTGACATGTATGTATGTACTATATACACCAACCTAATTTTTAACCAAACCTAACCTAACCAAACCTAATCCAACCAAACCTAATCCAACCAAACTTAAATAGCAAACATTAAAATAATTTCAGTTACTTTCATGTTTCATCGCTCATGATTTATGAGATCTCGTCAAACAGGTGAAGGAGCTCTTGAAGCGTGAAGTGGAGAAGGGCGATGTAGAAGCTCACAGAAACGGGGCCATCATCGCTGACTATAAGAAGATCTGCTCCCAGCTCTCCGAGAGATTAGACAAAGAACAGGCTGCCAATACTCAGACTATTAATATGTATAAGGTCAGTCTAACCCAAAGGCTTTTGTCATTTTCTTGTTCATTTATATAATGTTATTAGAATGTTAAAGATGGAAGGAGGAAAAGTCACAAATGGATTGGATGATACGTAGGTATATGTTATAGGATCTGTGTGATAAGTGTATATTATAGGCTTTGTATGATAGGTGTATATTATAGGCTCTGTATGATAGGAGTATATAGGCTGTGTATAATAGGTGTATATTATAGGCTCTGTTTGATAGGAGTATATAGGCTGTGTATAATAGGTGTATATTATAGGTTCTGTTTGATAGGTGTACATGATAAATGCATATAATAGGCTCTGTATCAACAAGGAAAAGGTGCTAACTAATGGTAAATGTTTCAGTACATGGAACAGTGAATGATGAATGGAACCTTTCAGTACATGGAACAGTGAATGATGAATGGAACCTTTCAGTACATGGAACAGTGAATGATGAATGGAACCTTTCAGTACATGGAACAGTGAATGATGAATGGAACCGGGAAGTAATGGGCACATTTTCAGACAAAATTCCCTGGGCACATGGCAGTATATAGTATGTAAACACTTGAGGATCATTGGGTGAGAGGGGATGCATTTTCTCAGATTTCAGAAGTGTTGGGCAGAGGGCAGATGAAGTGTGCTCAGATTGTTTTGACTTATTAGGAGGGAAATAGAGTGTGTAAGTCAAAGGTGGAAGGCAGGAGGGAGAGGAAGAAACAAGATGGAGTTGGAAGGACAGGGTGATGGATGCGTTTACAAGTGAAGGGAATAGATGTCCCCGAAGCAACCATGTGCACGTATTGATCAAGAGCACAGCATCAGTGTTACTGTACGTAGGGAAAGATATGCTTTTGATGGGTGATGCTGGCTTGTGTGAAGCAACTGGGAAGGGGAGTATCATAGCAGAAGTTACTGTTTATGGCTGTGAATGACAACAAATGAGAGAAAATATGTACTGATTGTGTATTTGTTCAGGCTCCCAACCAAATACAGTGGTACCTCAATTAACGAAATTTCAGTTACCGAATTAGCTCCTATAAGGATTTTCAATGCCATTAACGAACAAAGCTTTGATTAACAAAAGCCTTACGAGAAACACTCTTTGTTGTGTGCATCAGCTATCAGCTAGTCCGCCAATACAGTAATTGGTTCTATGTTTACATTCATTTCCAGTGGAGTAAATATCACGAAAGTTGTGCTCTTGAATATTTGTGAATTTATATATATATATATATATATATATATATATATATATATATATATATATATATATATATATATATATATATATATATATATATATATATACATACCTAGACCCCGACTTACGACTACGTGGACTTACGACCGCCGCAGGGACCTTTTTTTTTTTCAAATGACACACGCATTTTCTATACCGAAACGTTTCCAGTTAATGTAGTCTCCATGTATAATTAGAAAATTATGGGGGCCCCATGTGCATTCAGCTGACTACATTAAAGGTTAAGTGCTCAGTCACACTGTATCCATTCCTTATTATTTATTACTTTCACTGTACTGTATCCATTCATCATTATTCATTACTTTTACTGTACTGTATTTCATTGTAGATTTTTTATTAAAAAATTTTTTATTTTTATTTTTTTTTTATCTATGTCGGACTTACGACCTGGATTTGGGTCCCTAACCCCGCCGTAAGTCGGGGTCTAGGTGTATATATATATATATATATATATATATATATATATATATATATATATATATATATATATATATATATGTATATATATATATGTATGTATGTATGTATGTATGTATGTATGTATGTATGTATGTATGTATGTATGTATGTATGTATATATATATATATATATATATATATATATATATATATATATATATATATATATATATATATATATATATATATATATATATATATATATATATATGTGTGTGTGTGTGTGTGTAATAATAATAATAATAATAATAATAATAATAATAATAGTTAACGGTTTATTGAAAGAACTTGGCAGCAGAAAATATACAGTTACATAATTGGGGAATGGGTTTCGAATTACAATTAATATACAAATAACATAAGTGATATAAATAAGATATATAATAACTAGATAAGGAAAAGCTCAGACTACAGGGCATTTCAACATAGTGACAGTGCAAGAAGTAGTATTTACTGGGAGTGAATACACTGGTTTGTTACAAGTTATTGATAATTTTTACAATGGTTGGGACTGGGCTGTTCTTATAGCGATCAGTTCGTGCATGTATGGGCTGGATGCGGTTGTGGTGTCGAACAGCAATTCTCGGGCTAGGGATCAGGTAGGTAGGAGCCGTGTCAAGGATGGTGCAGAAGCTTCTACCAAATTTGCAGATGAGGTCGTGATGATGGTCAGTGAGAGTCCAAAGGCCAGTGTGTTGAGCGCTTCTTGATATGTGTGTGTGTGTGCCAAGTATGCGCATATATATATATATATATATATATATATATATATATATATATATATATATATATATATATATATATATATATATATATATATATATATATATATATATATGTATATATATATGTATATATATATATATATATATATATATATATATATATATATATATATATATATATATATATATATATATATATATATATATGCAAGTAAATCACTGTAGGTGTTATGATTTTATATATATATATATATATATATATATATATATATATATATATATATATATATATATATATATATATATATATATATATATATATATATATATATATATATATATATATTAGTGCTTGTAATTCTTTTAATTTTTTTTCTTTAGGCTAAAGTATCTTCGTGTGAGAAGTGTAGTGGTATTCTGTCACCTGTCACGGGACCACCAGGAGAGCTGGGAATTGATGAATCTCCTGTTGCAACCAAGCTTAACCAGCAGGTCCGTGAGCTGGAGTTGGAGCTGGCCCAGACCAAATTAGCACTGGTAGAGTCTGAATGTAAAAACCAGGTTAGTATATGTGATTTTTATGCTGTTATCATCATTATTCTTTTTTGCCCAAAGTTTGCATTAGGAGAGTTCTTGTGTTACAGTATCTTATATGGGAATTAAAAGGCCTCTATTTCCACCATTTATTAACGGTAACAATAAAACAACGGAATAATGAGTATACTAATGATCAGAGTTTACATTCATTGTGACCTGGGTATTGTACAGTGTAAAAAAAGCCATAAGAAAAAAATGGTATACAGGTAGTTCTGCTATAACGCGATAATTGTGTTCTTGTAAAATATCGTGTTATAGAAAATCGCGTAATAGAAATAACAGGGCTTATGGAGAAAATAGGGTTAGGTGCAGATTACTCGAAATCGAAAAAATTTAGTAGTTAGCCTAACACAAAGGATAGCACAGTCTAAATAAATGTTACATTCATATCTAATAATGAAATCATACAGTAAATTTAACACTTTACCTTGAAAAAATATGAATGTAACTTGATGGGGGAGAAGGGTGATTTTGAGGTTGATAACATCAAGCTTCTCTTCAAGTGTTATATCCTTTCTTTTACGATAATCACCGGGAATTCTATCATCAGAATGCTTTTTGGAGATATTCTTCTTTACCATATTCACAGTTAATACCACAAAATTGGAGAAATAGTTAGCAAAAATCGCGTTATAGCAAACAAGCGATCGCGTTATACAAATATTGTTCCGAATTCATAAATCGCGTTAGAGCAAATTCGCGTTATCAAAACACGCGTTATAGCAGAACTCACTGTACTTTCAACATTTCATTTATGGCTGTAATAGCACTAAATACAAAAAATATATATTATAAAGCACGTGGCTGAAGAACAAAGAAAAGCAGTACATGGCACTACATGATAGCCCAAAAACTGCTAGCAGCTAAGTTGACAACACCGTACAGGCGTGCACGTGACTTATCAGCTGAAGAAAACTGAACGAGATCTCTATGGTTTCCACCTCCCCTCTCTCTGTCTCTCTCTGTCTCTCGTTATTACAGTTTCATGTTTTTTTCGTGGAGAAAATGATGGAAGATGAAATTCTGAACTTTTGAAGAATTTTAAAAATTACTTCCGGATGAAGCTTTCGAGACCTAAATGGAGGACATGTCCGGGAAAATACGGACGTATTGCAACCCTGATTCATTAATCATTTGTCTAAGTGTACAAGTAGCCAAATAAAGCCATCATATTGCATTCAAAGGTAGTAAATAACGTTTTTAGGAAGAATCTTCATATCAAATACTATACAAGTACAGTGTGTTATAGTGACCCCTGTTGTAAGATGGTCTGCTGATAGCTCTCACATGAATGTATTTTGAGTAAATAACCTTCTGATACAGCTTATCCTTTTATTTTCAAGTCACATTACGAATTACATACAGTATTGTATTTTTCTCTATTACTGAAGATGTTATATTAATCATGATGAACCATAAACCATAAGACGCTAATCATATGAGAATATAATACTGAATCAATAAATAAATAAACCTGACTAATGTGGCAACACCTGATCAGCCCCAGCCTGTTTACATACTCAAGTGTCTTAGTTCTCAGTAGGTCTATAGCAAATCTGATTAGACCACTGTTCAGTACAGTCATTTCTACTACAATGCGTGTTTTGTCAACGTGAATTGGCTATAACACGATTGATGAATAGAAGAACGATATTTGTAAAACGCGAACGCGTTTTGGCTGTAACGCGATTCCACTCGAACGTTTTAAGTGTACTGTCGCTTGGCGTGGGGTTATGCAGTGTTTACAGTTCACGTTCGACATCACATGTTCAATTGATTCATGTGTTTTGTTTGTGAAGTGTTATTTGATAAGGACCCTAAAAATTTCATCCTCTTTTTTGCAAATTTAGCTGTTCCCATAAATACTGTATGAAAAAAATAAATAAAAATAATGTCTCGCAGTGCGGACTAATAGCGTTTGACACCCGCGCTCTCTGTTTCCATCACACGATCAGTTGAAACACGTGGGTTGTTTTGAAGCATCCTCAGTGATTTTTGCTTACTATTTCTCTAATTTTGTGGTGTTAACTGTGAATATGGAAAAGAAGTATATCTCCAAGAAGCGTTCTGGTGATCGCAATCCCGGTGGTGATCGTAAAAGAAAGGCTATAACACTTGAAGAGAAGCTTGATGTTATCAACCTCATAATCACCCTTCTCCCCCATCAAGTTATATTCATATTTTTTCAAGGTAAAGCGTTACATTTACTGTATGATTTCATTATTAGATATGAATGTAACATTTATTTAGACTGTGCTATCCTTTGTGTTAGGCTACGTATATCTCGGCTTATAAGACGGAATTTGAACATTAAAAAAATCTGCCCAAAGTTAGGGGGTCGTCTTAATCACCAAGTATAAAATTCTTACCTCTTAAATATTGCGTGTCAAGAGTGGTGATGGAAACATGGTAAACCACTCACAAAGTCCTACCAGGGAAAGTGACCTTGACTGTGACCGCCTGTAGCTATTTTTAGCCGTCCTTGTGTTCGGAGGTGGTCAGTAATGCATATCTGTATATTTACTGATCATAATACTTATCTCCTATAAATAATTAATTTAAAATTAATTTTTTTACAAAGAATATTCAGTAAATGACTGCGTTAATTCTTGAAACTACCGACAGTGGTAAATTTAGGATATAAATGATGAACAGAAGTCACTTCATGGAGTCATGGATTCGGAGTTTGGTCCTTAATGATCACCTACCAGTTATAATGCTAGCCTCCCTTTTTCGCGAAACAAGTATATAAATTAAAGAAAATACTTGCAGTGTGTTTAATGTATTACAGTATATTATAAATAAATAAATAAACAAATAAATCGGCAAATCTATTTTAAGTAAATGGAAATATTTTACTCACACCAACATTAGTTCCAATTAAATAACTGCCGCTTAAGTGAGTCACTAGTGTACACCAGCCGGTATAATTTGATGCCAATACTTGAAGTGAATTGGCATTATTTTAAATAACCAACAATAAATAAATGGAAAAAAGATCAAAGGTGAGAAACATTATATTGTATGTATGTTGTGTTGTCAAAGGAAGAGAAACAATTGAAACTCTGCAATTGTGTGTAAATGAGACAGAAAGATAAATCAGCAACCTAAGACTTGGTCACAATTGTCGTGATGCCATATGGAAGTAGGGTCTACCATTAGACAATACTGTACATTGTGCTTCCAATATCTTCCCAGGCAGTAGAATCTCCCCATTTGGTAGCTGCCTAAAACTTTTAGTAATATTACTTTGATACAACATGATAAATTAGACAAACAATGAAAATAAACAAACAAAAGTTATTTACCAAGACCTCTCTGAGAACAGAGGGATGTAGGGGGAAGGAAGGAGGTTGAGATAAGACAGCTATTTATAGCCTGTCTTTGTGTAGGAAGTCGACCACACTAGAAATAATTAATTTTATTATGGTAGTGTTGTGAGGATGTGTGAGTGGTGTGGGGGGTTGTGGTAGTGTTGTGAGGATGTGTATGTGGTGTGGGGGGTTGTGGTAGTGTTGTGAGGATGCTGTAAGAGTAGTGTGGGGGCTTTGTGGTACAGTTGTGAGGATGTGTAAGTGGTGTGGGAGGTTGTGGTAGTGTGAGGATGTGTGAGTGGTGTAGGGGGGGTTGTGGTAGTGTTATGAGGATGCTGTATGAGTAGTGTGGGGGCTTTGTGGTTCAGTTGTGAGGATGTGTGAGTGGTGTGGGGGGGTTGTGGTTCAGTTGTGAGGATGTGTGAGTGGTGTGGGGGGGTTGTGCAGTGGTAGTGTTAGGAGGATGCGGTATGAGTAGTGTGGGGACTTTGTGGTTCAGTTGTGAGGATGTGTGAGTGGTGTGGGGGGGTTGTGCAGTGGTAGTGTTAGGAGGATGCGGTATGAGTAGTGTGGGGGCTTTGTGGTTCAGTTGTGAGGATGTGTGAGTGGTGTGGGGGTTGTGCCGGTGAGTAGGGGGTTGTGCAGTGGTAGTGTTAGGAGGATGCGGTATGAGTAGTGTGGGGGCTTTGTGGTACAGTTGTGAGGATGTGTGAGTGGTGTGGGGGGGTTGTGGTAGTGTTGTGAGGATGTGTGAGTGGTGTGGGGGGGTTGTGGTAGTGTTGTGAGGATGCTGTATGAGTAGTGTGGGGGCTTTGTGGTACAGTTGTGAGGATGTGTGAGTGGTGTGGGGGGGTTGTGGTAGTGTTGTGAGGCTGCTGTATGAGTAGTGTGGGGGCTTTGTGGTACAGTTGTGAGGATGTGTGAGTGGTGTGGGGGGGTTGTGGTAGTGTTGTGAGGATGCTGTATGAGTAGTGTGGGGGCTTTGTGGTACAGTTGTGAGGATGTGTGAGTGGTGTGGGGGGGGTTGTGGGAGTGAGTCATAACCACACACCACCCTCAACACACTACCTCTTTCCTGCATCACCATCCAACACTACCAACGTGCAACACACCTGGTCACCTCTACATTATTAACACCTATACTGGAGTTGATTGGGATCATGTGCTGTGTACATCGATGTATTTCTGCCCGACACTGAATACGTCATCAACCTCTAGGGTCCAGGATAATATTAAGCCCTGGCACGGTGACTCCTCTCTCTTAAAGTGCATTAAGGTGATTGTATTTGGCGTCATCTAATCCCTAACTTCATAATGGAGTTGTCAAGGCTTCACTGTAATTACAATCTCCAGTTTTTTAGTTTCGTTTATTCAACTGGTATTATATCTACAAGAGTTATTTAACCAGACGTGGACATTTCTTTTTGTAAAGTCATATGTAGTATGAAATACAATATTTCAGTATACGAGTGTCATGTTGAGATGGGAGTGGTGACATTAGTGGGGCAGCTAAATGCAATTTTTCAAGAGAATCATGAAAATGGTGGTACAAGCACCAAATTTGGCATGGTAATTCTCTAATGGTTACTAGTCAAGTCTGCCTGATTGGCCATTTAAAAATTCAAGATGGCGACCATTTTTCAAGGTGACCGCCATATTGACCTTCAAAAGTTGATTTTTCTTATAGAAATTGATGTAGTTGGTCAATCTGGGTGATCTTGGTGTCGATATGTATGTTTTCAAGCATGCTTAGATGATTTTTTATAGTTTTAAGTCCATTGTAACATTTTTATCCACATAAAATAACACTTTTAGTAAAAAATATAACAAAAAAGAACTTACTAAAAAAAAGTACGGTAAACAGTGGGAACACAGTCCCACCACCGAGACGAGGTAACACTCCCACCACCGATCGTCTCGTGTGAAGCAAGCATATAAATTAAAGAAAATACTTGCAGTGTGTTTAATATGTTACAGTATATTATAAATAAACAAATAAATCGGTAAATCCATTTCAAGTAAATGGAAAAATTTTACTCGACACCGACATTAGTTCCAGTTACCGGTAAATAGCAGACGCTTCAGTGACGTCACTAGTGTTTACACTACACCAGCGGGTAACATTTGATGACATTACTTGAAGTGAATTGGCCTTATTTTAAAAAACCAAGGATGGTTGGTAGAGGACTACTGAGTCAGTGGGTAAGTGTCACATTTGGGGTACTGGTCTTATACAGCGAATAGAGCTCAAAAACTACTTTTTAAATGGAAATTTGGGGGGGCCGTCTTATGCACCCCGACGCCTTATAGGCCGAGATATACGGTAACTACTAAATTTTTTTTCGATTTCGAGTAATCTGCACCTAACCCTATTTTCTCCACAAGCCCTGTTATTTCTATTGCACGAATTTCCACAACGCGAGGTTTTACAAGAACAAAACTATCGCGTTGTAGCAGAACTGACTGAATTCAGTAAGTTTGTTCCATTTCATGAGAATTTTGTTTTCTTAATCTTCCCATTTCTTAGAACATGATTTTTTTCTTTTAGTATTTCTGGTGACCAGAACACCTCAGAGTCCCAAAAAAGCAAATTCTGATATATTGAAATCTGATTTATCGAGGTTTTACTGTAAGTTGTAATATTTTTCCTGGAATCTTTTGTTGTTCTTCCTCTATTTTACCAAAACTCAGAACAAAACTTTCCTTGCAGGATCTGACACATCAGTTGAATACAGCCATGACAGAGTTACAGGCTACAAAAAGTACTTGGTTCCAAAAGACTCTCACTTCAATCTCTTCGTTAAAGGAGCGCACTGCCTCTACAGGCGGCATTGTGGTTACTAGCACTCACAGCAGCGGTGGTGTGGGCAACAGTGGACTTCAGCGTCAACACAGCAGAGACAGTAACCCAGAGAAAATGTAGATGTCCATATATGTTCACAGAGTCTTAGATATAAGTGTGTGTTACAAAATAAAGAAAGCTTAAATTGTGAACATTGTGGAGAGATGGATGTGGAGATAATTGAATCAAAAGTAACTGCTCTATAAGTAAACTCCTAGAAAACTGATGTGAAATTACAAATTAAAAAGAAAAAATTTCAGTTTCTGTAAACAAATTTGATTTTTATGGAAGTATTTTTAGTGGAAATAAACATGTTAATAATAGTATTTTGTGGTGATACATATGCATATTATGATAAAACAACACCAGTAAGGATGTTATGTTGCTACAGTGATAATATAATTTGGTTTTCTTTTTTGGGAAAGGTACTAATTTGGAATTTGCCACATTAAAAAATATAATTAATTTTACACAAAGGTACAGAAAGAGCTGAAAGTTGCCCTAGTCTTTTTACACTTCTTATGTAAATATGGAATATTACCCATGTACTGTATCTTTATGTGTGTGAAAGCTGCAGCTAATTACAAGTATTACATAAATATATATATGTGTGTGTGTGTGTGTGTGTGTGCGTGCGTGCGTGCGTGCGTGCGTGCGTGCGTGCGTGCGTGAGTGAGACTTAATTGCCTAAGTAGTAGCCATTCATAAGTAATCACAAGATTCTTTGTGATGCTGTTAAAAAGACACTCATTACTGCTCCTCATTGTACTATGTTTTATTTTTTTTTTTTTCATGCATAAATAGAATTGTTCCTTCTTTCAACCACATAATATAGAACAACTTGTGTATATCTGCTCACAAGTGTCAGTGTCACCTCATGCCCTGCCAGTAATAATAAGGAAAGTTTATATCGAGATACTGTACACCCGTCGCCAGCTGAGACTGTGTGTATTAAAGTTGGATCAGGGTCTCACAGATAACCTTCCAGAAAGAACATTTTGTTTTCCACGTGGCATCAGGTATCACCTTATAACACCCCCCCTTCCCCCCTGTATTGTCTTCAAATGGTGATGCCTTTACTGTTTCTCTCTTACTCTTGCCATGCTGTGTGTTTACCAATGACATCATCTTTTCTAACACCTACATTTATATATATATATATATATATATATATATATATATATATATATATATATATATATATATATATATATATATATATATATATATATATATATATATATATATATATATATATATATATATATATATATATATATATATATATATATATATACATACACACACACATACATACATACATACATACATACATATATACAGTATATATATATATATATATATATATATATATATATATATATATATATATATATATATATATATATATATATATATATATATATATATGTGTGTGTGTGTGTGTCTGTGTGCATGTGTGTGTGTGTGTGCGTGTTGGACGTCATGTAGTTAACTGTATTCTACAGGTATATTTTTTGTGTAAAATGTAACTTTATAAACTGCTTTTGAAAGTCACAATTTCAGTAGTACAGTATATGTCTCATTTTGTCTCTTATTTCTGAATAGATATGACTGTTTCCCTTTGAGAGTTATCAACTTGGCAACTTGTTACCTTGCTGTCTGTTGACACACTTGTCAGTCCATCACATCTTGGACTCATAGTGTTGGCAGGAACTGGTTATTCACAGGCTCTTGAATGCACCTGAACATGTACCAGTGCTGCTGTAGGCTGACCTTGAAGTAGTTCACACTTGATGCTTCTCACTTACACTTGAGGCTTCTAATGCTTACTGCCTCTCTTTATTTATAATGTACTCTTGTAATGCTCAGTTCTTCTCTAATAAGTATATAGTACCTGCATGTGATGTTTATCATTGTCTTTATTACTCTATATTTACATTAATTTATCTAATTGTGCCCATCCCATCAGATGATTACCATCCATTGTATAATTTATTCCCCAGCACACACTAGCATTATATCAAACTCATCATTTATGTCCATCATTCTTTGCCTTTATTATGTCATGGTGGTTTCTGATGACAAATAGGTCACCATAGCTGTGCCCATCATCTGGTCTCTTTAGCATTTTCTGGCCTGGTGCCCTGGTTTTGTGGTGGTAAGCACATTAAGGTTTTACCCAACAACTACCATCAGGTGGGAAAAATGGCTGTTAAACGTTGTTGACGATGACACCCAAATTAACATGGAACTGTTACTCCTCAGATACATTATACAGTAGCCTCAGATTTTGGGGTTACAAGGTCAAGGTCCACATTACACAATAACTATTTGCCCATAATTCTATATTCTGTACCAGCTGGGTGTACTGTACACTACCAGGTTTCTTTGAAGTACAGTGTATCATTACCTTTGCTGCCCTCAGGTGGGTCATATGAATTTCACAAACAAATTTCTTTGCTTAATCAAGATAAAGAAAACAGTTTTATGTTATAGTGGTCTTTCTGGAAGGCATTTATGTTATGGGTGTTATATGATTTTATTTTATGGGTTTTGCCTTCATTGATGGTTAGGTAATGTATTGTTGGTAGTGATTCACTTTTGTGTGGTATGTCTCAGAAAAAGTGGCTTAAGTGTAAAGAAAATTTTCAGTTGAAATTTTGAGCTTCATGGCTGTTGTTAGTGAACTGAGAGAGATATAAAAATGCACATTTTAAAATGCATTAATATTGCACTCTTTATGATGCAGAAGTAGAGCACCTTAAGATAATTACTGATAATGGCTTTTTAGCTAGGTTTATCCTTCAATCAATCGGGCATACAAAAATATGAGAGATATGGGGCTACTTCTGGAACTAGGGAACTGTCTACATATTGAACAAAGGAAGGTTACTGTTATTCATGCCTTTTTATTGAACATACAGAGGCAGTATAAGAAAAGATATGTATAGTACTTTCTTTTTATACTTTTTTTAACAACACCGTAGTTTGTAGTTCATCTCTGCTGTTCTGCCTTGATTGATCATAGACCTGAATCTGTATTGTTGTGGGCCAAATAGATCCCAGTCCAAATAGGTCCCAGCACATCTTAACCTTATCATTACAGTTAGGAATGAGTAGGGTGAATGTCTATTAGGACCTGAACCCATTAGGACATGGACCCATTAGGATGTGGACCTATTAGGACCTAGGACCTGAACCCATTAGGAACTGGACCCACTGAGACTGGACCCAGATCTTAAGTTAGGTATGGGGGTAATTTGAAGTCGGAGCCATTTGCGGTGTCAAATCAAGACAAGCCTGCAAGACAGTATGGTAAATGATGTTGTCAGTGGTTTGTAATTTAAAGTAACTTCCGGTGTCTTCTACAGGGATATTTATTTATTTGAGAATGCTAGATGAGTGTGCTGTAAGTACTGTATTTTAGGAAGTGCAGTATAGAGGAAACTAAAAATCAATAGGAATAAAGTCTGATCATTGCAAAGAATATTTATGTTCTCTCCAATAATATGATCAGATTGTTCCTGCAGATTTTTAGGTTATTGTTTATTACATTTCCTAAAATATCGTAATCATTCAGGTTCTTTAATAAAAATAGTACTCTATACATTTTATTGTTTACTGTTCGTGAAAATTAATAGTTTGTCTTGACAATATTGCTTACTTTTTTACTTCTTACTTATCCTCTTTGGACTGTCATTTCATATATTGCACACTTGGCAAGTACTGGGTATGCACAGGGTTTTGAATGTACCTGAACAAGTTCCAGTGTTGGTCAGGGGCTGGACTTTGAGAAGGTCACACTTGCCATTGACCTCAGTATCAGCTCTTCTGTAGTTATTACATTGATGTTATTTTATTATGTACAGGTACTGTGTTTTGCCTGGTGGTAACTTTTGATGGTTTAGGTTTATGGAAGTAGTGTTTGGTGATGTACTTTTGTTGTCGTATCTTGGAAAATTATTGGATAGTACAGTACAGTATTGAAAATATAGAAATACAGTATGTCAAGTGATATAACTTGCATAGAAATTTTAATTTTACTTTGATATTGTATAGCATTTAATGATATGATTACACTAATAGTTAATTAATGAATAATATCTCAATGGATCAAGATAGATGTCACATGAACCTTAAACCAGTGAAATCAGAATTAGCTTTATAGAGACTGATGTAAAAAAGTTACTAGTGTGTACAAACAGTTACCAGTAATCTATCTGTACATAAAAAGCAGTGTTACCAGCATTACTTATTGTTTATTTAGAATGAATATATGGTTGCCACTGTGCTGTAAAAATGGAAAGAAACTAAAAGATATTGATGGAATGTATGGGTACACTTTATGTTGCTGTGGTAATGTTACTATTCAGTGTTTTAAGGTGATATTTGTAGACATTGGGTAGTGTTGCATCTTTGATTTTGTACAGTATTTGAGGGAGTTCATCCTAAAACTGTTCACTTGTACTTCAAGTTGTATGCTAATGATTCCAGTTTTGGAAGTGGATGTACAGCAACACCTAACGATGTGGCTTCAACAAGCTTCCACCAAATAACTTGAGTTACACACACAAACTCTTTTGGTCCCACAATCATTGAATGATGTCACAGTCAGTCAGTGATGTTACATCCATCCAATAATGTCACAGTATGTTATATACTCGTGACTTAATGAATTTATCCAGTCACTTTTGTGACTAGAGTGGAAGATTGTGTATGCTGCCCCTTGTGCAGCCCTCAGTGGCCTAGCTTTTTGCCAAGAGAGTTGGACAACCCTCTAGATGCTGAATGTTAGGAGTCAGTGATGAGCACTTGTCTGGCCATCATGGTAAGGAAATGCTTGTGTGAAAGAGACAAAAATAACAGGAAGAATATTGAGTTGGGGAAACTTACTGGGGAATCTGGCCAATATTGTGGAGGTCGTGTTGATTATCTAAACAAGCAATACACTTTTCTTATGTCCCACCATCTCCTAAAGAAATTATTTGTTTGTGATCCAGATTGGTAGACCAAAAGATTTGTGTTTGATTGGAAACTGTGATTTAATCTGTGAAAACAATTACAGTAGAAACAAGTACAGTAAGTACACTTTTAACATCAGAAATTGGATTTACACTAAAATTCGAGGAGCAGATTTTGGGCAGACTTTTTAAGAACATTATTAAGGATTTAGCCACCAATATATATATAATATATATATATATATATATATATATATATATATATATATATATATATATATATATATATATATATATATATATATATATATATATATATATATATATATATATATATATATATTTATATATATATATAATTTTTTTTTATGTGTTAACTCTATACTGTACTTATGTTTCAAAGGAATATTCCCAAAGAAAATTTTGTTTTGTTATATGTTATTTTGTATAGTACAGTAGTACAGTATCTCAACATATTTTATTTTAATATTTACTAAAACTATATTTTGTGTCACATGACACAGAAGAACTTCCTCTGTTGTTACATTCCAGTTATTGATCACTTGCAGGGTGTTGGAAAAATTTATAGAATGAAGTTTAAACCTTAAGACACCAATGATTAGTAAGTTCATTTACAGACGTTGTCAAGACATTGTCATGAGGATGAACAGCATCATAATAGTACACACTTATAATACCCTAAAGGTTATGACTGTTTCATTATTGCTGTTTATTTCAAGATGTGTGTTATCCACAGAGCCATTGCTTGATGTAACAGATGATAGGGTAATGAGAAACTGCATGTGATGGTGACAGGATATGCCAA